TATGCTGCAGGCCTCCTGAGGGCATTAGTCTTCAAAAATCCTGCTTGTTTCGGAGCCATGTTTGGCCAAGAAGGGCTTAGTGCTGCCCCAGCTCTCTGCAGGGCTCATCCCCAAGAAGGGAGGGGGAGGAAAGGACCTGGGATCTTGGCATGGAAGATTAATCCACAAATTACAGAGCATGGAAGATAAATGGGGGATCAAGTTCTAGGAGCTCTCCTTGTAGCCATGCACAGGGGTTTGCTGGCAGCCTGGTGTGAAGCTCCCCTAGGCAGAGGTTTCCCATGACCTTCCTTGGTGCTCTGTTGTCTTTGGTGTCCTTTGTGTCCTCGAGTTGGTGCTGAGCAGCTTCCACAGGTAATGAGTGGGGAGAAGGCTTCATGCAGAGGGCTGGAGGTCTCAAACTGACAGTTCCAGCTAAGAAAATATTTCTCTACTATTCTTGCCTTTGCATGGCCTTGCAAAAAGCTTGTGGTGTCCAGGGACTGGCTGCCTGGGCTGCGTTGTCACTTGGGGCACGGTGGCAGGAAAATCAGCTCTTCTGTGAAGGAGTTGCTGTTTAACTTCTTGGGGTTTCTCAGCTCTTCCTGCAAGTGACTCTTCCCATGTACCTGGACCTTTCCCTTTCTGGTCTTGCTCCATTTTGTCTAGTTAAAAAAAAATTTATTCTTTCCTGGACCTCATACTAAACATTTACAGTCTTTATGAGAAGATCTAATCAGGAGATGCTCACAGGATGCCCCGTCAGGCTGAAATACCCATTTTAAAAATTGCCATTATTATTTTTCATTCCTAGGCTTTGCCAAGCAGGAATGGCAGCCAGGAAGGACTCAAGCTGTTCATGAAGGAGCAAAGCTTGCCCATGTCCATCCCTGTGTCCTTGAGGCTGCAGGACAGAGTGCAGCCACCTGGCTCTTCCCTGCTCTGTATTGCAGCCCTTCCTAAAAAAACCCAGCTGCTGCCTTCGGGTGGGACCAATCCCCACCTGAGATGTGATGGTGCACAAAGGGCCCTACTCTTCCTCCTGCTCTTTGCATGCCTGGTGCACCATCCTGCTCACAGCACCTCCCTGCTGGGGGAACCAACACCTGCCGTGGCCCTGCCACCCTCCAGAGCATCAGCGTGCCCGAGGCACGTGCCCTCACAGCCGGGGGGCTCAGGCTGCTGGGGACAGCAGATGGAGCTGGGTCCTGTGTCCCAGCTGTGAGGTGTGGAGAGTATTTATGCATTTGCTCAGGACCCAGAGGAAGCTCCTGGAATCTGGGACAATAGAGGGGGATGAGCGTTGGGAATGCGGGTTTGTTTTTGGGAGCAAGTGGGAATTTGTTGAAATCCCCGTGCGCTGCGGCTCCGGTGGCTGTGACGGTGGCTGTGAGGGTTCCCTGGAGCCAGGGCAGTGCCAGCAGGCTGCCTGTCCCCACAGTTGGCCCACAGAGGGGCTTGGTCCTGTCCTGGGGACACCGAGTCCCAGGAGCTGAGACAGACCCAAACTCCTGCTGGTGGGAGCAGCGCCGAGGTGCCAGCAGGAGTGGGCACGCACTCTGCAGCTGCTGCATCCCCAGCACTTGGAGCTGAAAGGACAGGGAAAAGCATTATTTGAACCATTCCCAGGAAACTTCTTTAACCCCATGAAGTGGAATGGGAATTAATGCTTTTTTTTATGTCCAAGTTATGGCTTTATCTCTCTGCAATCCTGGGTTTATCACATCTTTCCAGAGTTCCTGATGTTATGTTTGAGGCTTGTATGGCAGCCTGGGGCTGGCCCTGCTCCAGGAATGTGCTCCTTGCTTTTCCTCTTCTTTCTTTGCGTGAGTGTGATTGTACCAAACTCTTTAGTATTTCAGTGTGTTTTGTGCAGAGTTTTTCCCCTGGTTAAACTCCACCTCAGTCATCCTCAGCCCCTCAATTAAGGGGAGCAAAGAGGTCACCCACCCAAGTCACCCACTTACGTGTCTTTGCACACAAAGATAAATGTGAGCTTGTTAAAACGGAAGACTAAAGTTAGCAACACACACTCGGTCGTGGCCGAGTGCCATGAGAAGAATTCGTTATTTTCAATAGCTTACACTTAACAGAAAATAGCTGACCTCTCCTCTCTGCTGAGGAGCAGCAGTGTGGGTCCAGCCATCAGCGTTCCAAAGCTTTGCTAACCCAGTTGCTGGCCAAGCACACCGAGCACAGGGTGCTCTTGAACACTGAAAAGCTTGGTGGCTCGACTGCCTCTCGGTCCCTCAGCTGGGGCTGAGTTTTGCATTTTTCCCTCTTTGCCAAACGAATCCTCCAGAACTGCCTCCTGTCTTACTCCCAGGCTCATCCCCATGTGTGTTCCAGTGCTGCTTCAGCAGGGATCTTGCTGCTCCTGCTTTCCTCCTCCAGCCCTTCCAACACCACCTCTCCTCCTCCCAGCCCCTCCCCAGTGTGGCAGGCTGTGCCCCCACCTTTGGGTGAAGCCCCCCCCACATTCCAGCACCGGCAGCAGCCTGTCCCCAAACTGCCACTGAGCCCCCTGGCTCTGAGTCCCCTTCCCAGTCCTCTGTGCCCCTTTTCCTGTTGTCTGCCTGTCCTCATGAAGAGTTATGGTGCTCTCCAAGGTTACTACTCCTCTTGTGTCCCCTCTGAGCTGTCCCTTGGACCCTCTTTGACAGTTCCTTGTCCTACCAGTGCTTCTTAGTTGCCCTCTGCGTGGACATGCTCATCTGCTCTGCTCCCAGTGCTGCTGGGCTCTGCTGCTGCTCTCAGTCCTCCCTTTTGTTCCCTGTTGATGGATGACCCCTCTCTGCAGTTGCTGGTGCCCTTGGTGATGACAGTGACTTGCTATTTCGTCCCTGTGCTTACGGTTTGACATTGCAACTGCTTGGGAGGAACAGGGCTGCTTCTGTGGTTCCTGAGCCAGGGCATGGGGTGCTGATATGGCTGTTCATGTTGCACCTTAAACCAAATAGGGGAACTGATGTTGTTTTGGTCAGAAAATACCAAACAGCAAACCAGATGTTTTCTGAACACGGGGTTTTCTAAGGATCTGTTTGCAGGCACACTCTTGGCAGGGGCCTGCCGTGCTCTGGTGAGCATGGGAAACCAGCAGGAGCTGGTGCCATGGGCAGAGGTGGTGTGCTCTGCTCCCAGCTGCTTCTTGGCTCAGTGTGAATTGCTGTGATGGCGATAGTCTGGGCTGGGTGAGCAGATCTGCCTGAAAACTGACCTATGCCACAAAAAAAGTGGCTTTCACCCAGATCAGCTTGCCCAGCCAGCCTGGCTGTGGTAGCCTGACCATCAGCCCTCCATGAGACTGCAGGGAGGTCAGCATTGCATGGTAGATGTGGCAGGGGAATTGCACCTCCTGAGAGGCAGTTCACATTTATTTTGGGTTGAATTGACATTGTCCCTGGCAATTTTGAATCCTCAGAGGGTTTGAGGAGCAGTCTGCTTTTTAGGGCTGCATGCCAGACTGCTCAGCACTGAATCCACCCACGCTTTTCCTAGCAAGGAGGTGCAATGTGCAATTAAACACACCCCCAGACTTGCCTGGTGACAGGAGACGTTCTGACCTTCCTCAGAAAGCCAAAGGCTGGGCTGGGCTGCCCTGCCAGGAAGCACCTCCTGTCCCATGACCGTGCCAGCAGGGCTGGGCACTGGAGCCCAGGCTGCCATTTCAGGCACTGAAGTGCTGCCACCATCACCCCTGATCCTTCCAAGGACCCAAGAGGGATCTTCCTTCTCCTGTGGTAGTGGCTTCTGCTGCCGTGCCCTTGCTGGGAAGCAGCTGGAGGTTGTGCTGGAGTGAGCTCTGGAGGCCTTGGACCTGTCCTCTTCAGGTGGCTCTTATTAACAACTAAAGTAACTTGGGGCTCCTTCCTGTGGCCTGCACTGACACAGGGTGAGGGGCCACGACTTGGGGAGTGTGAGCAGAGCTGGGGGGCGTGTGTAGTTTTTATCTTGTTTTTCAGTTCCATGCTGAGCATACCCCTGGGGACAAGGTCACTTTGGTGGCAGCATCTCTCCTTTTTGGGGTTTGAACCCCCTTCTGTTCATCTGGGCGATCCAAAATGGTTTTGGCTTTGATGAGCTGCTTTGCTTTCACTTGGGGCAGCTCTTTGGGGTTGGTGGGTTGGTGATAAAGGATGATGTGCTGTGTGTGAGGGCTGTGCAGCCCAACACCTCTGCATCAAAGCCATCAGGCTGATCTACCTGAAAACCAGTCCCACAGCTCTGCCTGCCTTGCTCTCACTGAGCCCTGAGCTGGGCCAGTCTGGGTGCTGGTGAAGGGACCCTGGGGCTCAAGGGGCTCTTTGGGGCTGCAGAAGGATTGTGGATCAACAGCAGGGCCTGTCTGTTGGGTCACCTTACACCCTCCTGGTGGCTCTGTCCCATCAGCCAGGGCAGAGGGGGAAGAGCCTGCAGTGGAGATGGTTTCATCCACCAGTCGCTCCCCACACTTATCTTTTGAATTGGCAACTGTGGGCTTTGAGCAGGGTCTGTGAGACCCAGAGGTCCCCTCCAGCCCCACAGCGGGTGGGGCCTGCAGGCAGGCACTCACATGGGGCAGGCTACCCACGCTGTTGGGAAACAGGGCTTTAGTCTCCTGAGGTGGAGTGCGCAGCTCCCAAAAGGAGCAGATCCTGCTCTGCAGATCCTCGCTCCTCTTGAAAGCAAGTTCTTGTGCTAATCTCCCAGGCACCAGCACTCCTGTGACTGTGCCAGCTCTTGATGTGAGTTATCCCAGCATCAGCAGACGTGCTCTCCTGCCCTTGGGCTTGTTGGGTCCGGGCTGGTGGAGGTGGCCTCCCGTTCCCTGTGCCAAAGAGCTGCTCTTTTGTCTCAGCCCCATCTCAAACCCTTCCCCTGGCTTCTCCCGAACTGGTTGGATTGCTGAATGGCCCCGAGCGACGCTTTGATCTGCAGTCAGGCTGCCTGGCCCAGTGGCAGCAGCTCTGTGGGACTCCCAGACAACTCGTTTGCCTTGAGCCCCTGGCCCAGACTAACGAGGCTCTCTCGTGTTCCTGCAGCTCGGACTGGGTGGAGATCATCGAGCCCCGCTCCCAGGAGCGGATGTACGTCAACCTGACCACGGGGGAGTGCGGCTGGGAGCCCCCCCCCAACCTGAAGGTGCGCCAGTCGGACCAGAAGCAGTGGTGGGAGCTCTTCGACCAGAACAACAACCGCTTCTACTACTACAATGCCATCACGCGGCAGACCGTGTGGCACCGGCCCCAGGGCTGCGACATCGTGCCCTTGGCGCAGCTCCAGGCCATGAAGCGCAGCTCCCAGCCCGACTCCCGACGGCAGCACCGCGGCAGCACCGGCAGCGACGGCCGCGGCACCCCCGTGCACATGGCCCTCCTGCAGGACACGGAGAAGGGCAAGTGGGACTGTGCGGGGGAGAAGAGGAAAGACCCTTCTGGCAGGTAAGGACAGCGTCAGCCTTCTCTGTTTGTATCTGAAGAGTGAATATCCCTGGCTTGGGCCGGGCCCTGTTTGTGTGAGGCACCGTAAGAACGCACATCAGAAGATAATCATCACTCTGTGTGCTAAACAGAAGGAGAGGGGACAGGCAGGAGTGTCGTGCGGTGACAGGAGCTCCGTCAAAAACTCATGACAGGGTTTGTTGGGATGGTTCAGCTGCTGTGGGGTGTGGGTGAGCCTGACTGCTCTGGCTCCTTTCCTTCCCCACTTGCTGACTGCTGGCATGTTCTTGCAGCTTCAACCTGAGCAGGAGGTGGGATGGCAAGGACAGAGCTCTTGGGCACAGTTATTTGGTCACACCAAGCCTGAAATGAAAGAACAATAACAGGATGCTATTTTGTTTAGCTACGAGATTTTTTTACACTCAAGTTAGTCTGACAGCAACCGGGGCTTTTCATTGTATTGAAATCGTGCCAGCTTCAGGTGCACAAAAGCATCGGCTCCCCAGTCTCTATCGGGGTAGTCCCTCTACCTGGGACACTGTCTGAGGCTGCCCTGCCTCTCTCCTGCCCTGGGCATCATCCTGCCCCAGGGAATGCGGTGCTGCCAGCTGGGAGGCCGTGCAGCGAGCGAGGCTGGGTCGTGCTCAGAAGTGACTCATCCAAGGTGAGAGCAGTGCCAGGGTGAGCCTGACTGTCCTGCCCTCTGTGCCATGGGGCCTTGGCCTGGTTCTGGGCGGTGCAGCAGGCAAGGCTGCTTTGACAGCTTGGGTTTGGGATCGAGACTGCCTCTCTGTGTGCCTGGTGCAGGCAAGGAGGGAAGAAAAAAGCCAAGATGTTGGAAACCACGTAGGATGGCAGTTCTGGAAAGTTTATGCACCCTGAAGTGAGGTTTGTCACTTGTCTCCTGCTCCTTGCAAAGCTCTCCTGTATTCAGTGCAGATCTTAGTGGCTGGAGACACTGGTGATGCACATAAAGTGCACCAGAAAGAGCCCAGAGCGTTACTGGTGCCTGTAGTGCTCCCAATGCCTGCTGTCCCTCCGAGCTTCAGAGTCATCCAGAGGAGGATCCCTGCCCTGCCAGGAGAAGTCCAGTAAAAAATGCCTTAAGGTGAACCTGAGTAGCTCCCAGTTCCCTCAGGTCACTCCCAGTGTCCACAGGTGAGTGTCAGGCACATGGGATTTGCCATGAGGCAACTGGCTTCCCTTCTCTGTCCCTCTGCAGCCTGGCAGGCACTAGGGCAGCCAGGACAGGCACTCCAAAACTAAATATTTCCAGAGGAGTCAGTGCAGGAGCCCTGATAAGGTGTAAGATATCCTGAGCTCCAGAGTCCAAAGTATTCCTGACTCATTCTCTCGGGAGGGAATGTGGCTGCCTCTGCCTTAGTATGGGGAGTTGCTGTGCCTCGGGGGAGCAGAGATGCCAGCTGTGACCCACATCTCAGCAGGGGTGACCCCACACACATTCTCTCATATAGGAGGATGCGGGTGATGTAATATGGGCAGGGGTTTGTTTTGCCTTTCCTTGCCAGCCAGGCAGCGTCGTCATCACCTCCGGTTCTCCAGCAAGGAAAGGAGTGGGAAGGAGTTCCTCTCTTACTCCATCCTTAGCTCAGGTTTCTGCAGCAACCCTGGGGCACTTTGAGCCTGAAAGGAACTCTAAAGGGTGAGTATTGGGAAAGGCATGAGTGGCAGCTCGCTGGGGAGCTGACAGGCTGCTTGGACATGCAAGGCTCTTCCAGATTCTCACTCCAGTAAGTGTTTGTGGAAGCTGCTTTCTTGGAAGCAGGAGGCTGTGCCTGTTTCTGTGCACAGCCATCCTGTGTCGTCTCTGCTGTGTGATCAGGGTCTGCATATCTGGTTACCCAGGTCTGACACTCCAGGAGGGATTTCTTGCCTTTTGCAAGCTCATAAAAGGGGGAGCAAAAGCTGAGCCACAAGCTCCCAGGGGATCTAATGCCCTTACTGGGATGTCTGATGTACTGACAGCATGAGCACACTGAGCTGCTCAGTTCTGTTGTCTGTGTTGCTCTCCAAAGGCAAACTCCAGCATGTCCTCCTCCTGCCCTCGGAGGGATGCAGCTGCACAAACACAGGGTGAGCCCCCTGAGTGCTGTTGGTAGCATTTGACATCTTTAAAGGTACCTGCACCCAAGATGCTTTCCCTTTTGTCTCTTAATGCCAGCACAAAAGGTACTGTTTTTCTTTCCTTCCTGTTTGTCATCTTGTGATGGATGGAGAGGGAAGAGACCAGTGTAGTCCCCACGAGGGGCCCCCTGCAAGCACATGCCACAGAGGTCTGGGGGAAGGGATTTTGTCCCTTTTTTTAGTAATACTTTGTGGTTGAGGTTTTTTTTCTTCTTTTAGTAGACTGTTCTTTATCACCTTTTCTCTCTTGAGCCTTCAGTCAGCACTGCTGAATTTGCTGTGCCTGCTGCCACATCTCAGCCCTCTGTGTGCTCTCGGCAGCCTCAAGCGGAACGGAGATGCTCCCCAGCCAGGTGGGAGCTGCACTCACACCTTGCTGCCCATTCCCTCTGCCGCCATGCCCATCCCACCCCTCCCTCACTGCCACCACGTGCTGCTGCTCTTCCAGCTCTCTGAAGCACAGCAGCTCAAAGCTGCCTTCTCTAAACATTGGCCTTTGACTCCCCGAGGTGACACAGGGGGTCAGTCCCAGGGAAATGGCAACTGCGGCCGTGGGGGAGTCCCTAATGCCTTTGGCCATCCCTGGAGCCTCCTGGGGAAGCTCCTCTGCCTGTGCTCTTGTTCCCAGGCTGGTTTTCACCCATGCTTCCCGGGGCTGGCTCTCCTTTCTCCCTTGCCCGACAGGGACAGCGGGCAGCACTGGCCTCACAGCTCCAGACCCTTCCTGAGCTCTTGGGATCCCAGGGAAGGTGATGGCCAAACTACCCTTTCACAGACTGGAGAGCTCTGCAAAGGATGGACAAGTTCCCTTGGGGACTGTGAGACCAGCCCAGGGCTGAATGCAGCCTTTTGGAAGTGTCCTGTGAGCCGCTGCAGCCGTGCTGAGGTTTGCTGGAACTCCTCGAGGCAGCGGGACAGAAAGGGCTGAGCATGGCAGAGGGCCAAGGCCTGAAGAAGACAGTCTGGCTGGGAGTGGAGCCTGTGTGCTGGTCTGCAGTGTTTTGGCACGCTGCTGGCCAGGGCTGTGAGTGGGCTGTGCTGTCCCAGCTCCTCTTCCTCTGGTTTTCCCAGCATCAGGGACATGTTTAAAAGTGCTGTTTCTGAGGTTCTCCTTGTGATAACAGTGCATCTTAAAATCCTTTGTATAGAAATCCACCTTCCCTGGGAACATCCTATCTCCCAGAAGAAGAAAATGAGGGTCTCTTCTGTGTGGGCAGCAGCTTGTACTGCTCACCCCTTCCTTGCCCACCTTTCTGACAGCTCAGTATCCTGGGCTGGGAGGGAGTGAGGGCTTGGTCTAACAGTGCCAGGAAGATGTGCTGGAAGAGGAGTGAGTGTGTGATGAGAAGGTGGCTGTGACAGTACCTCTTAGGCTGGTTTGCCTTACCATGGGCTCACATTTCTCGGGGCATAGCAGAAGTAGTACCAGTATTAAGTTCTTCATAATCAGGCCAGAAACACTATCAGAATCCTTCATACAGGTTTGTTTCCTTCTTGTGCCACCAGGCTTGGGGTAGGGTGTGCAAACACAATGTGCTTCTGTCCTCAGAGCTGGGCAGGCCTGGGTGTGGGTGGGTCACATCCCTGCCCCTCTGTGGGTGCTGCTGAAACACCAACATCCCTGTCCACTCACCTCTGCCACAGCACCAGGAAAACCACTGCTAGAAAGGGCAGAGCTGAGCTGGGGGGTCTTTTCTCCAGGCTTCTGGGAGGGAGAAAGCAAACAATGGAGCTCTGGAGCCTGAGAAGAGCTGCCGGATACGCTGGGCCTGCTGGAGCTGGGTGCGGGCTGGGAAAGCCAGCGCCAGGTTGGGGTGTTTATGTTGGAGCTGCTTGAAAGCATTCCTCCCAGGGAACAGTCTCAGGGGACTCTCAGGGTCTCTGCTGCTGGTGGCTGAAGAGCACAGCTGAGAGGCTGCCCTGGGATACTTCTCCACCACTGGCTTTCCTTTCTGTCAGGGCTTTCACTGTTCAGACGGACAAGGCTGAACCTTTCTCCGTGCTGGGAAGTCAGGAAGTCCTTGTTCCCCTCTGCTTGGTCTTTTCAGCAGCCTGGGGATGGGGTTGAAGAAAGCTGTATCCAGACATGGCCCCAAGAGATCGTTCATGGCTGTGATGGTTTTTTCAAAAAAGCCTTGTCCTCTCTATGATGGTGCCTCTTTCATCTCTGACAGCCACAGAGGCTGGAAATGGCACAGTGTGCCCAAGATGAGACTGACAGGCAAGGTGGGGTACAGCACGTGTTTGGAAGTTTCCCTTTTCCGTCACATTAATTTACAAACTTCCTGGTGAGTGTGGTGGCCCTCAGTGACACAGGAGTGGCTCAGCTTCCATCTCCTCTGGTTCCACTCCAGTGCTACCCCACTGGATATCTCAGCAGAGCCCTGCAAGGACACTGCTGTGGCACAAGTGGTCTGAGTCCTGAATGCAAAGCTCCTGGGTGCAACACCCTCTCCTTGAAGTCAGAGTGGGCAGACAGTGGACACTGGGGTGCCCTGGGGAGGGACCAGTACGCACTGGGTGCTTGGATCAGTCTTCACATCTCGAATCTTGCTTGCTTTCTGTTCCCTGCCTCTGGCTGCACCTTTGCCCCTCACCCTGCACAAGCTACAACAGGTGCCAGGGCTGTTGTCCTGCAGCCCCCCTGCTGCCTGGCCCCTGCTCCCAGCATGGGGCACCTGGGTGCTTTCACAGTCCCAGGTGTTTGTGCTGTTCCTGGGAAGGGCAGTGTCAGAGGGTGCCCTGGGCTCTGCTGGCTCCAGGGGTTTGCAGTGCCCCAGGGCAGGGCCCAGGGTGCAGTTTGCCCTGGGCCTGAAGGAGGGAACGTGTCAGCACGTGGACTGCAAGGGCCAAAACCCTGCTGCTTGTGGCAGACCTGCTCACTCACTGCCTGCTGGGGCCGACTGTCCAGCCTGTCTTGCTGTCCTCCCAGCTGGGCTCGGGGCAGCTGCAGGGAGAGCCCCGTGCCAGGCAGAGTTCCTGCCCCTCTCCACCACGTTCCACCCACGTGGCCAAATCTGTGCTGAGTCCTGGCCGTGTCCCCCCATCTTGGGCAGGCCCAAGGCAAGGGACAACTTCCAGCCTGATGAAGGGACACTGGGCAGTGAGGAGCTGTCATGCTTTGGTGTGCCTGCTGCCCTGGGGCTGCCATGGGGTCACAGGCAGGCAGCTTCCCCCTGGGGGAGGCCATGAGCACAGCGTGGTCTTTTTCACAGAGCAGGGGCAGAGGTTGTTGCCAGTTGGGATCCCATGGGACCCTAAAGTCATAATGCCCTGCTGGAGCAGGAGCCCAGCTCTGCTGGCCAGGCTGGTGTGCTGTGCAGGTGCCCAGCCCCACACCTGAGCGAGGACAATTAGGAAGTGCCAGGGCTGCTGTGTGGGTGTGAATTGGGACAGGAGATGGTGCCAGTGCCTGCTGTAGGGCAGGGAGAGGCTCAGAGCTGAGCGAGGAGGTGGCGGAGCTTCGGGCAGAGGTCCCGCCGCTCCAGGGGGTTGGTGGGCACCGCAGCAGGCGCTGCCAGTGCCAGGCGGTACCAGCACACGAGGAGCCTGCACAGGGTGACAGGTCTGGCCATACCAGGGATGTGTCTGCCAAGCCTTGGCCAAGTGGATGGTTCAGCTGCGCAGAGCTGGTTGGACGTGCAGGTCAGGGAGAGGAAAAACCTCAGGAAGTGGCTCGTGGTACGTGGGGTCCAGTGCCTTCCCACAGAGCACAGGTGTATTTTCCAGCACTGCCATAGCTGGAGCTGTGCAAGGCAGGGGGACACAGCTGCAGCTCAGGGCCCTGCTACCCTGTGACCCAACAACTGTGTGGTGCTGTTCCAGGCACTGCTCTGGCTGTAGGGTTGAGCTAAAATCCCTCCCGGTCTCTCACCCTCTGCCTGCTGAGTCAGGAGCCCGTGGGTGGCTCTGTCCTGCTTGCTGGTTGACAGTGTTTCTTCTGTGCTGCTGATACAGCCGTGGGGGTGTCAGAAATACCCACTTAAAAGCCTACCAAGTGTGGCTGCTCTGGTTCTTCCTGTTAGTCCAGGAGCTCTTCGAGGAACAGGCAGGTCTTCAGCAATGCTTGTGTTTGGCACTGGGGTTTGGCCACTCACAGGACGGATGCACCGGTGTGAGAGCAGGCCCCGTGTCCCCCAGGGAGGGATACCTGCTGGGTTTTGGGGCTGCATGTCCTCACAAATGCCATCCCACCCTGCCATCAGCACCTTTGGAATAAAACCCTTCGTGCCTTAGTGGGAGATGCTCAGGAGGTCACAGAGCGAGGGGCGCCCCGGGGTGCGAAGCAGAGGGTGCAGCTCTTTCTCAGCCTGCTCTGGGTACCGGGGTGGGTGCACGAGGGAGCTGTATGGGCTCTCCTGTGGGAAGGGAGCCAGTCCTTCAAAGGGGAGGTGCAGCCAGAGGGTGGTGAGGCCTTTGGACCCTGGCCAGGGGTCAGCACCGCGCCCGTGGCAGGGCAGTGCCAGGGCAGTGCCAGCCGTGCCTCTCCTGGTGCGCTGTGCCAGGGTGGGATCTGCAGGGACCAGGTGCCATCCCAGAGCATGTTTTGCCAAAAACGTGGTAAGCGGTGGGTGGGGAAGGGGCACACCACCCCCTTAGCAGGGCAATGATTTTGAGCAGATGTGGGGCACTGGGTGTGGGGTAGATGATGTGGGGTAGGTAACTGGGGTGGAGCAGGTGAAACAGGACACCCACACAGGTGCACTGGTGGGATAGCCATGGGGAGGACAGGCACAGCATCCTAGGGAAGCTGTGCTGAAGGAGGGGGCTGGGACCCAGCAGGTGAAAAAAAGGGCTATGGAGAGCAGGAGAGAGGGGCAGGAGGGGTGGGGTGTCCAGGTTTGGGGCTTGGCAGGTTTGGGAGGCAGCTCTGGATGTGCAGTGGAGGGGGGTCTGTCTGCCAGCACAGGACAGTGTGGAGTGGGAAGCAAGCTCAAGATTCAAACAGAGCAAAGTGGCTGTGAAGGTGTGAGGGGAACATCTCCTGCCACAGACAGGGCACATGCAGTGTGCCCTCAGGCCTTACCCCGTGATGGCTGGTGGAAGGTACCTGGGGGTAGGGAACAAAATGGGGCCAGGTTCAAGGAGCCCTTCCTGGGGACAGTGGTGCCTTGGAAAACCTGGAAGCTTGGGCTGGTTTAGCAGCTTTTCCCTTCTCTTTTCCTCAGAGCTCACAAACACAGACTGGCTGTGGCTGTGCCCTGACAGCACCTTGTTGTTCTGCTGCAGAAAGTGCCCTTGGAACTGGGCTGTTACAGTGGGCACACTGGGTTGTGATCCCGAGTACCACTACGGGTCAGAGGAGGGTTTCACAGCCACGAGACCTGAGCAGGGCCAGTTGGTGTGGCCAAGGGAACCAGACCGAGTGCATCAGGACTGGGAGGAGGCTTGGCATGCTGTGTGGGGGTGTGACACGTCCTAAGCTGAGGGTGGCTGTCCCTATGCACTTCCCATAGACCTCATAGGTTTTTCTGCAAAATAAACATGCATCTGGAAACTTAAATCAAAAAAATAGCGTGGTCTGGAAGGACTGTCATTGTAACTGGATAATCCAAAGGCAGATACTTGGGATTATTTTCTAACGAAATGCTTGAGTGGTCCAGAATAAGTCGCTCATCTCCAGCTGGTTGTTCTGGGTGCCATGCTGGCTGCTGAGTTTGGGAAGTGTGGGTTGTGTCCTATCTCAGTGCTGCTGATACCAGACAGGTTATACTATGATGAACTCATTTCACCTCGTTCTGCTGCTCGTGACTCAGGAGTTTATCAGGTGTGTAACAAGAGTGGGGTTCTGTTTCAGGAAGGGGGATCTCCAGGGAAAAAGAACATGCTGATGTAACTGGTTGGGGAATCTTCAGGCGCCTTGAAAGGACCTTTGTGGTATTTGTGTAGACGTAGAGGGTACTCCAGGTAATACAATTCTTCAATAATGGCCTGTATTTGTATCTTTCTTCTTTTAGGGAGACTCCTACCCAGTGGCAGCCTCTGCCAGGCACGAAAGCAGCCATGTTGGTGAAGGTGAACAGTTTGAGGCAGATACAGAGCTTTTCAAACAGTTCACTTCAGCTGCAGAGCACTCCAGAACCCAGCAGCCCAAAATCTCTTCCAAAACCAGCTATATATGCCCAGCCTCAGTCCACGTCCCAGAGCCCTGGAGCGGCAAAGCAGACAGGAGACACAAAGCAGTCTATGCAGATCAAAAAGACGGAGAATGGGGGGTTTTGCCTGGTGCTGATGAATGGCCCAACTTCTCAAACACCTCCCAGGAGCCGGACAGGAACCCCCCAGCCTGCATCCCCCAAATATGCCTCCCCTGCCCCCATATACGATGAGCCATCTCTAGAGTCGCCAATTTATGATGAGCCCCCAGTGGACATGGACACAGAGAGCGTTGCTGTGAGTGGCACGTCTCCACCCAGGTCACCAAGCAATAGCTTAAAAAAGCAGCTGCAGCCAACCAAGTTATTGCAGCATCCCAGTATGCAACAGCAACAAGCTACAAAGAAGCACGCAAGAAATCCCTCTTCCACCGAATACAGCCCGGCTGGCAGGGAATACATAAAACATATGGTCAATGTTGACCAATCTGCCAAACTCTCCCACTCTGCTGCTGCAACAGCCGATGCCTCCACTAAACTGCCTGGTCAGCTTGCTTCAAAGGACAGCTTCAAGCAGTCTTGGAGGATCCTGGAAGCCAACGTCCTCAAGAACATGGAGCTCCACCACAGTCGTCAGAACAGCCTGCAGACTCAGGAGTACCCAACCGGCATAAGCCACCAGGATTCTGGTTATTCCACTGGCCCTTCTCCAAGCTTGAGGAAAAGGAAAGGAAGGAGGCAAGGAACAGGTCAGGTAAGACCCGGCTCGGTGGGCAGCAGCAGCGAGCTGACAGCCCTGAACGATAAAGTGATCGCCGAGATGCGCGCGGTGGTGGGCAGGTCAGCAGCCTGCAGGGGAAGCAAAGCCAGCCTGGACGCCGAGAGCCTGGAGAGCGGCGTCCCAGCAGAGAGCAGCAAGGTCAGGTTTCAGTCGGACCACTTGAAAAAATGCGTCAGCCGGAGCTCCAGGGACGACGTCTCAGCCAGCAACAGGTCTCTGTACAGGCAGGGCCTGGAGATGAGGGAAGGCTTTCCCGGCGACGCCGCCGCCGCCGCTCCGCAGGACGCGGCGAGGCAGAAGAGGACTTTTGAGAAAATAGATTCCTTGGAGAAGAACGCGACCGGCCAGACGAGCTCGGCCTCGTCGGATGCCGCCCGCCACTCCTCGCAGGTACCGCGGGGATCGGGGGGGAGCCCCTCTGCCGGGGCTGTCGTGGTTGAGCAGAACTGCTCCTCGTGGCGGGGGGGAGGTGGGTTTTAGTTCCAAACACATCTGTGCCTGCAAAATAGGAAGCAGGTCACAAAGCTTCACAGCTCTCACACCGAGGGCCTGCTGGGCACGGGCCCTTAGTCCCTGCGACTCTTCCTCCTCTCACACCAAGGGTGTGAGAGGAGGAAGAGTCGCAGGGACTAAGGGCCCGTGCCCAGCAAGCTCTCAGCACTGCTCTGTTAATAAATCTGCTGCCTGATCAATTTACTGTCACTCATGTCTTTGCTGGAAGCCCTTGCCCCTTGTTTGTCCTTCCTGTGCTGGCGTGATCTGAGTTCAGGATTTGCACGGCCACGAGGCAGCCATTCCTCTTTCTCTCTCCTTTTCCTAGTGGTTCCTCATATGCTGTTCCCCCTCCCAGTTCCTGAGGATCAAATGGAGATGTTAGGAAAACCAGTGTTTGTTATTTTAAAGCCCATTTATCTCTGTGACACAGCACTTCTGCAGAATTTAGTTTGCCAAGCACCTTGCTGTCACCTGAGAGCTTTTGGAAAACTGATGTCGTGTTCCTGCATTTCCCATTTTTCAGGCACAGAGCCAGATCAGGTTTACACAACCTACTGTTAATAGTTCAGGAATTTCATTTCACAGCCTCTTCAGACCTGGTGGAAAACTGCTCTCTGGTCTTCCAGCTGTGCTACACCTCGTTGCATTGACAGGGAGAGCTGAGACTTGATGTCTTGATTATGCACAAGAGATGGTGGTTTGGGGATAGGCTGTTGGCCTTGAAAATGAAGAATAATAGTTCATGTGTGGTAATATGGGAAAGGAGAATACAGGGGAAGATTTGAGGAGATGAATGTTTTGGTAAAGGCAAAGAGTCAATAAATAGAGAAATATTCACAGAAATACTCAGAAATGTAAGAGTCCAAGTAAGGAGAGGAGGAAGTTGCAGAGAATGTGGCAGGAAAATTGCTGCCTTACCTGAAAATGGCAGTGAGTGGCTCGAGTCATCAGTGATGTCCTGTGCTGGGCCTGTGTGATGGAGAGGAGAACCAGGAGATGAGGAATCTCCTTATCCAAGGAGGGTGGGCAGAGGTTCTGAGACAGGCTGAGCACAGGTGGCTGTGTGCTGTCAGTGCAGAGAGAACAGCTGGGGAGCTGTGTGAGTGAGAGCAACTTCAGAGAGAGCAGAGGAGAGAACCCTGAGCCTGCTGAACCTTGAGAGAGCACGAGGAGGTGACTCCTCAGAAGGAAGACACTGAAGGAGCAGGAAGAGTGATAGGAGGAAAACCAACCCTGGGCAGGGAAGGGGAATTGAAGGAGACTGAGGATGTGGAGATGGCAGAGAACTGCAGGCAGGGGTTTTTAGTCAGTATGCTGAGCGAATTCAGAGAGAGGGTGAGGAAGTAGAGGAGGAACTCAAAGGAGACAAAGCACAGTGTAGGAAAAGAGGAGAAATGATTGTGCCCCTGGCTGGCAATAAGAGGTGGAATGTGACGTGTGCTAATCCCATCATGCACATGTAGGGGCATGTTGGGTGTGAGATAGGGAAGGACTGGCCTGCACGAGCCTCTTTGGTGAGTTCAGCAGTTCCTCTGAGCAAGGAAGAAAATACTGACTTGCTGACTGACTTCCCAACTTCTCAGCACTAATGTGTAGTTTGGGGTTGACTGTAGACCATGACCAGAGCAGAGTGTGGCAGGCAAGTTAAAGGTGGTCTGCAAAGAAGGAAAGTACATGTTTAATTTCACTTTTTCCACTGCAAAACCAAAATTTACTGCATGTGTTTTTTGTCTTCCTTTAAAAAGCAAAAAGCTCTAGATTATCTTGCCTGGCTTTTTCCTGCTTGTTAGTGATCCCCTTGGAGAACACAGAGTGAAATGTGGGCTCTTTAGCTCTTGGCTGCTCCTTGTGGGAGTTTCAAGTCTAACAAAATAATCTCTTTCCTAAAACAATTTTTTGGGTGCTTGGGTTCAATGTGTCCCAGGCTGCCACTCCCATCCAAAACTAAGAATTCTGGATGGACAAAAGAAGTATCTTTTCTCTCAAGCAATCATTACATGTTTTCTTGGGACCAGTACTGCCAAGGCTCTAATGATGCAGTTATCTGTAGTGACTGCTGGGAAAGGATGGCAAGGGCTGCACGTGTAAAGTGCAGAGTCTGGGAGGAAGGAAGGTCTCTGTCTGTGCTGCTGATGTCTGAACCTGTGATCAGTGGGCTTGTCCCTGGAGCAGGTGAGTTTGATCACTGCAGGCTGTGGGTGGGAGCTGCTGTTCTCACTTCTCTGAAAAAAAACCAACTCAGTCCTGTGAGCAATTCTGATTTAACCTGGGGAAGGTTGTGCCGATGGGGAGCGTGTGGCAGAGATGTCCCTGAGTCCTGTGCAGCAGGACTTGCAGAAGCACCTCTGTAGCCACAGCTGGAGCCTTCCCTGTGGCTGCTGAGGACCTGGGCTGGTGTGGCAGAGGCCCTGGTGGGTCTGTGGGATCTGGCAGCACTGCAGATGGCAGCTGACTCGCACAGCTACCTGGTCTCCTTTACTTCACCAACTCAAACATGATCTCTCCTACCTGGGTGAGCCTCAAAATACCTGTGCCCCTTCTCCTGTGTGCCTCTCAGCTGCTCCTGTCCTGTTTGTGTGTCGCATCAGTCTTTCCATTGGGAAGGTCCTGGTGGAATTGAGACACGTGATTTCAACACCTCTGGTGCAGAGACTGTCCAGGCACAGGCAGCTCTGGAGGGTTGCTGGCCGTGTTGATTTGGTTTTGTTTGGTGGGGTTGGGGTTTTTTTGCCAGAACTTGGAAAAATAGCGAAGGTAGGGAACAGGTATGGGATTGTAGGGACCGCAGTGGGTAAGGCTGAGAAGGAAGCAGTGCTCATATTGCTGTGGCTGCTCTAGTCTCTGCTACCTCCTGGTGTCCCCACCTGCCTCCTGGAGCTCCACAGGAACTGAGAGGTGAGGAGTGGGGTGATGCTCAGCTCCCCAGCCTTGGTTGCTCTGGGACTGGGCTGTTCCCATGAGCTCTGGGACAGCTTGGACACTCAGCCTGTTGCTCCCTGTCCCAGTGTGTGGCTGTGCCAGCCAGGCTCTTGCAGGACTGTGGGTGTCAGCCACAGGTTCTGCCCCAAGTCATGTTTGCACAGGCTCACCCCTGTGCAGTTCCTGGTAGCTTCATGACTCACATTGGGTCATTTAAGCTGCCCTTATTTCACACTTGTGTCGTTCTCCACAGCCTGGCACCATCGAGCTGGAGCCCAAGCAGGAGGGCAGCGGGCAGCGCGGCGGCTGCGTGGGATGCCATTTCCCCTACAACACGCTCCGGAAGCCCATCTCCCAGAGCAGCATGGCAGACTGGGCCTCCAAAAACCTCAACATGCACACGCAGGGCATCTTCCGCCGCAGGATCTCCATCTCCAACATGCTGTCCTGGAACGGCGGCTCCATCAAAAAGCCCATGCTCATCACCAGCAACCGCGCCATCAAGAAGGAGGCGTGCGAGATGTTCAAGCTGGTGCAGAGCTACATGGGGGACCGCCAGAGCCGCCTGGACCGCAACCACGTGGCGCTGGTGACGGTCACCAAGTGCTGGAGCGTGCAGGGGCTGCGGGATGAGCTCTACATACAACTGATCCGGCAGACGACGGACAACATGTGCTACCGGAGCCTGGCCTGGGGCTGGGAACTGATGGCCATCAGCCTGGCCTTTTTCTCCCCATCACCCAAGTTTCAGTCTTACCTGGAAGGTTACATTTACCGCCACCTTGACAGCGACGAAAAGAGTAAGTGCCTCACGCGCCTCCTCTGTGCCCGGCAGCATCCTGGGGGGTTGTGCCACTTAGTCATAGAATCGTAAAATCATAAAGTCATAGAATCAGAGGGGTTGGAAAGGACCTCTGAGATCATCAAGTCCAACCCTTGATCCACTACCAGCACAGTTCCTAGACCATGGCACTCAGTGCCACATCCAGTCTGTTCTTAAACACCTCCAGGGATGGAGAATCCCCCCCCTCCCTGGGCAGCCCATTCCAACGCCTGATTAGTCAGGGTTGTCTGGGTTTTAAAAGGACAGGTATTCCCCAGCCAGTGCTGTGGGCTCTGTCAGTGAAAGCACAGTGTGTTGGGCGAGTTCCTCCTTCCTCAGTGGGATGAAGCTGCCACCAGCTCATGCCCTTCCAGTTCTCACTTGTGTCTGACAAAGAACATGCTCACCTCATCCTCAGCACTGAAATGAGCTGATTTTGACCCACCGGTGGCAGAGTTTCTTTGGGTTCTCTGAAGACATTTATTTCTAAGTAAGTAAATGAGTAATAATAAAGTGCAATCTGAAGAGTTTACTTCTAAGTTCCTTAGAGTGGGCAAAAAACAAAAAAAAAAAAGGATGGTTGTTAATACCTAAGTTTTTAAGGGAGCCACAGCAAAAACTGGGAATAGGCCTTGGCTTGGCACAGTCAGTGACCCTGAAGAATGCAGGCTTTTGGTGCAATTTCTCTGTCTTTCACAAGTCTGGGGACCAGCCCAGCATATATTCCCCAATTTTAATATGGAGTGAAAACAACAGCACTCCCCACATCCTGTCCAGTCTCAGGCCAGAAAGCAGAGCTCCTGTTTCCCCCTGGTGTGTGAGGGCTGTGTTTGATGTGCAGGGTGGGTGCAGCTCTGCCCCAGCACCGCCCTGCCCTGCTCGTGGGTGCAGCAGCAGAGGTGGCACCAGGGACAAGCAGTGCTGCAGTGCCAACCTTTTCCTTCTGATTTTGTGCTTGTAGCATTGATGTGGGATTCCTTCACCGAGCTGTTGGGTGTGCAGCACTAGTTTGGGTTTTCTGTGGTTCCTCTGCCCTTGTCTCTTCTCCCCAAACCCTTCCCTCCAGCTGCACTTGGCCCGGAGCTCAGGCAGCAGGGAGGAGCACTCTGAGCTATCTGAGGGGATTGTTCCTTCTGCTGCTATTCAGGCAGCAAGTTTATTTGGGCTTCTCAACTGTTTGGCCATTTGGAGAAGCTGAGTGATGTTCTGGGCCCCTCACTCTGGGCTGTGCTGCAGGACCTTTCCCCAGGCTCCTCTCGTGCTGGAGTCAGGCTGGCTGCCACAGCCAGGGGCACTTCCAGCCTTTGGTATTTTAATATATCACATTGGTAATCTCTTTTGATTCTTCAGTTGCCCAGCACATCAAGGAGCTTGTGGATCTGAAAAACAAGAAGAACTCGAAATCCAGGAAAAAGAGGAAACAAAACACTGAGGATGAAGGTAAGGGGAGGCACAGGGAGCCAAGAGGGAGGTCTGCACTGAGCTCAGGCAGGCAGGGATTCTGAGCTCTGCTGAAAATCAGACCATTTTTTTAAGTGGATAGACTTGGGAAGAATTCCCTGGTGAGTGGCTGGTCCGTGAGCTTTGACCGGAGCATGGATCAGCAGTGTGGGTGGCAGCTGGGCTGCATGTGGGACAGGTGGGGGCCCTTCCAGTCACAGTTGTGTGAGAAAAGGGATTTTAATTTAGGGCTGTAATTCAGCTGGTTGGTGAATGCCACGGAGTTCCTAGTGTGTTCCAGTGCTAAAAGCCACATGAGCCAGTGTGTTGAGGAGATCCTGTCTCAGTCATGTCGATGGATTTTGTGAACCACTGCCTAACCTGAGGCCCTCCAGGGAGGATGGTGTGCCTGGGGAAGGACACTGCCTTCCTCTCTCCAGTGTTGGCTTCCCTTCCTGAGCCCTGACAGCCCAGGGCCTGCAGTGGTGTCTCTGCTGAGAGAACAAGAGCTCCCACATTCCTCCAGGCTCAGTTCAACTGCTGGCTGCAGGATAACACTTTGTCTGACTAAAGTCTTGCTGGACAAGGCCCATTCAGTATTTTTTTTACATTGCTTTCAGGAAACTTGAGTCAGCTCTGTGAATTCCTATCAGGCAGCAGTTCCTATCAGGTGTTTGTAACCTGTGAGAGCTGGAGTCCAGCTCCTGCATTCCTGAGCCCTACCTGACACCAGCAGGCAGCTGTGCTCCCTTTGGTGGCTTCCCTGTGTCACTGCTGTGTCACTGCTGTGTCACTGCTGTGTCACCCTGTGTCACTGCTGTGTCCCCCTGTGTCACGAGGCAGCTGCCAGGGAGGTGGCTGAGGAGGGCCCTGGGCAGGAGCCCCTGCGCTTCACTGTTCATTATTTCTCTCTCTCTCTGCTGGGATTTGGAGCAGAGACCTGAAATTGCACAGAAATATTACATTGCTGGTAGGAATATGTTTTTCCTTTCCTGTTCATGCCCAGGAGAGTTCAGCCCATTCTGAGCCTTCGAGAATTCGTTTTGCTTGTGCTCAGAGGGACTTACACATCTTTATGGGACAACTCCATGGAGATTGCTCTGTGCAGGGTGTGCTGCCTGTGGGCTGAGCAGGTTGTTCTATTGAATTATATGTCAATATTGCATGTGCTGGAGGTGTGCTTAGGGAGATAGGGGTAGTTTTAACCTAAGAACAAACAGTATATTTAAAATATAAAAATAGAGCACCAGCAGTTGGACTCGATGATCTTTGTGGGTCCCTTCCAACTCAGGATATTCTGTTTTGCTTCTATCGTGTATATTTTATCAATACATTCAAATATGTGCAATGTGATGCAAAAGGCACGCCAGGAGAACTTCATCAAGTCTCCACAATGAAGCACTTGCCAGTCAGCCGTGCGTGTGTGGCCTCAGCCAGGGCTCTGCTGGCAGGTCCCACACACTGCTCCTTTCATGGAATCACACACTCATTAAGGCTGGAAAAGCCCTCTGGGGCCATCGAGTCCAACTGTTCTGCCAAGGCCACCACTGACCATGTCCCCAAGTGCCACATCTACGTGGTATTTAATACTTGCAGGCAGGGCTGGAGATGGTAGCACTGCCCTGGGCAGCCTGTCCCAGTGCCTCCTTACCCTTGCAGTGAAGATGTTTTCCTTTATATCCAGTCTGGATTTCCTCTGGCACAGCCTGGGGCTGTTTCCTCTTGTCCTTTCCTGGCCCAGGAGGCTGCTGTGGCAGGGGCTGGGAGCTGCAGGACAGAGGAGCTGCTGTGGCAGGGGCTGGGAGCTGCAGGACAGAGGAGCTGCTGTGGCAGGGGCTGGGAGCTGCAGGACAGATGAGCTGCTCTGCAGGGGCTCAGCAGAGCCAGCAGCTCACTGGTGACTGATAACTCTGGGGACTTTTTCTGGGGCCTGACCTCAGAGTTGCACCTGAAGTAAGGGGAGATCCTGCAGGACCACGCCAGGTTGTGTCTGCTGCTGGCTGGAAAGGTGAGGCTGTTCCCTGGAACACCTGTTTCTGTTCCACCAGCCCCATCTGCCAGGCGTGGGAGGGGTGGTAGGATCCCTGAAGCTGCAAGGCTGTTGTGAGAAGTTCAGTAGTGGCTCTGAAATGTGAGGATGCTTATGGATGGTGTAGCAGCAATTTAGCAGAGAAACCCATAAGGAAGTTAAATATACTGTCTTCAGTCAGAACTGAGTAGCAGATAAAGCATCTGTGTAAATCTTTCAGTGAAAAATGGAGTTGAAGTAGTGATTTCACACACACACACACTCCCTTCAGTGCAGAGGCTTGTGAACACTTAGGTGAGTAAACATTTACCATCTGACATATACCCAGAGAAAGAATTTTGAAGTTTCCCACACTTACCACTGCAATCTTCATCTTCTAGTGTAATTCCCTGCGAGTAAATGAAACGTGAAGGTGGTGCGAGATCTTTTCATGCATCAGTAACCCACTGAAAGGCAGAATAACAGGTAGAAATAAATGCTGTGTTTTCAGAAGGAGGATTGTCTGCTGATCCAGCAGGAATGTAAGCTGGGCTTTGGGTTTGTACAAGGAGACAAATCATGAGCTGGCAGCTCAGTGCTGCTACAAAATCATTCAGGACTGCAGAAGTGAGGGGTGCAGAGGGCTCTGGTGAGGGTGGGTGACAGAGCCATCGAGCAGCACAGAAAGTCGTGTCACCAGAAGCTGCGTTGTACACGTTGTCCAGTCCCTGACTGGAGCCGTTTAGAGGAGGGAGGGACATTTTGAAGCTCATATGTGAATTTCCAGAAACGTGCACAGTGCTGGGAAGTGGGCACAAACCAAACAGAGGATCAGGAGCTTGTAGGAAAGGGACAGAGAACAAAGCAGCCCTCGACAGTGTCGTGCTGTGCCCACCCTGCACATCCTGCCCAGGTGTGGCAGGGGAGGTGACACGGGAGCTGGGCCTGCAGGAGGGCACAGGGGAGAAGGTCAATGGGCTGAAAGGAACTTTAGGTCACCTGGGCAAAGCAAGAAGAACGTTTCTCACCGTTTGTGGAAGCAGCAGAGCTGGAAGCTGCCTGGTTTTGGTGCTGGGCAGCAGGGCCCAGAGCACTCTGTCCTGAAGCACAGAATGAGATCGTGAGGGGTTGGCAGAGCAGGGGGTGGTGTGGGCTGGGAGCATAAAGAGGCTTAGGAAGAAATGGGACAAATTCGAGGAAGGGAAGTGTGTCTGTTGCTGGTTACTGGTCCAGGTGCAGCACTGCCTCAGGGGATTGCCCACCTGCTGCTAGCCAGGAGATTTTGGAAGGGGAAGACTCCTTTTTCAGACATCCTGTATCTGTTTCTGATCCTGGTGACAGGTGCAGGCTGCTGGCTCATACGGCCCTTTGGGCTGCTGAATACGGCATTTCCCACGTAAGGAATGGTGAGGGAGGAGCACTGTTGGGATGCAGAAGGAGGCACTGGTGGTGTGAGGAAAAGCAGCTAAACCAGTGCCATGAAATGGGGGTGCCTGGGTGGATCTAAGCCAGGAGAGCAGCACTGCTGGTGCCAAGCCCAGCTGAGCTGCTTGGGGGCACCTCCCCCGTGCTAAAGTAAGACGGGATCCTGGTCTCAGCCCCTGCCTCTGGCTGAGGTCCAGGAGGCCGTGGTAGATCAGAGAAATACCCAGGCAACAGCTTCTTCCTGTGCTAAAATACATGTCCCATAGGCAGGTCCTGAATCCGCACTGTTTGATGCATTTTTAAGACATTTTTTGGCAGGGAAGCATTCCAGTCTGTTCCAGAAGGTACGTTCCTGCATGTGTCTGGATTTTAACTTGTTGTAAAAGGAGAGATTCTTTTAAGATGCTCTTCACATGTGTTTCTAGGCTGGCACACAGAAATATTTTCCCTTGAAAACTGTTTTTCACTGTGTGGGCTGTTATAGTTTTCTGTTCCTGAGCTCCTGAGGCTACTGTGGTACCACAGGAAATAACAGATCATCTTTGATTTCTCAGATTCTTGATGTGCTCACCCAAGTGGAATTGCCCTCAGGATTAGCCCTGTCCAGGTGGTGCAGACAAAGCTGCCTGGCCCTGCACCAAGGGGCGTGGGGGGCACCTGTGCCCCGTGCTGGGACCCCAGGCTGTGTGTGAGGAGCTCGGGAGCCACGAGCTGGCTGAGCGTTCCCAAAACACCAGATGGGTGGGTCAGGCTGCTGGTTTGGGAGAGCTGAGGCTGAGTTCTGCTCCTCTCCCACATGTTCCTCTCAGCAGCTCACTGGGTGCCTCCTGGCCTCTCCACGTCTCTGCTGCCCATCCCACCCTGCCGGTGCCCTGGAGCCGGGAATGTCATGTCCGTGTCCCTGTCGGGGCAGGCGGCTTCTGCCTCATGGCCTCTGTGCTCAGCAGGGCAAGAGCTGCTCACCCTGTTCCTCGGGGCTCCTGCTGCTGTTTTGGCCGTTCAGGTCTGTGGGCAGCAGCTCCTCCAGCCTCTTGTGCAGGCACCAAGTTTGTTTCTCAGTTGCTTCAAACTTGGTCGCCCTCAGGTGTGGCCCCAACAGGCCCCTTTGGGTTGCCATGTTGAGCAGGAGGCCTCGCTGCAGAAAGTGCTGGATGTTTTAGGCTGTTCCCAGGACCAGGGATCTTCCTGGGAAAGGATGAACCAGGCTTCAAGCAGACGTGTCTGCTGCCCACGCATCAGGCTCTGCAAGACACCAGTTCCTCTGCAAACCTTGTTCATCTTTTGGGGTGATAATGGGTTTCATGGTCTAATTACAGTGTGGGAAAATGTTTCCTATTATTAGTTCTGAATGTGCTGCCTCCTGCATAATTGCTGGGATGCAGAGACAGGGTCCAGCCCCGTTCCCATCCCCTCTGTGAGGGGTGACACCTCCCTTCGGGGTGTGTCTCACAGCTGACAGCAGAGGCTGTAACCTGGGAGAGTGAAGCACCACAGAGCAGCTCACTGGGTTTGTTTCCTGTAGTCCTTAGACATTCCCAGTGTAAATCATGCCTGGGAATAGCGAGATTTTTGCTTACAGTGAATGTTTTGCTTTAGGTATTGTGGAGAGAGAAATTTTTAAAACTGGCTTTCCTTCCCATTGCCTGTGGGGGATGGGAATGCTGTTGTACCTCCTCTGGCAGGGCTCCAGTGGTGAGGACAGACTGTTCCAGCTGTGAGGCAGGTTGGTGGAGGCAGGGAGTGCTTGTTTTGTCATGAGGAGCCAAGGACTGTGGCTTGTCTGATGTCTGAGAGGAGAACAGGGGACAACATAACTCTCACCTTTGGGAATTGTTGCTCTGCTTGGGAAGAGCTTGTCCTCCTCCTGCGCTAAGGGGTTTGAGGACCTCCAGGTTCAGGCCAGCTTACCTAAGCCTTAGGGTGTGTGAAAGGCTGATCTGAAACGTGGAGCATCTGACCAGAATGTAGATTTTCAAAGCCACAAGTATTTTGAACTCTGCTGCAAGCTTTGGGCCTGGCAGGGAATCAAACAGGGCAGATCTATTCACTGCTTTTCAGCGAGCAGTTTGGGTTTTACTTGAACAAGAACAAAAGGCCAATGGTTTCGGAAAAACTCTCCCAGCAATCAGTGCTCTGTCATTGCAAACATTTCTCTTGGTGTCACGGGGGGATTAGCTCTGTGAATCCTGCCTGCAGAGTTCACTGAACCAAGCAGAGCCAGAGCAGCCACTCTTGTGGAGGACAGCAGGACTGGAGGTGCAGTTCCCAGGCTCCAGGGTCCCCATTTCCCCATCTCAGAGCACCCCTGAGCCCTGCAGGACAAGGGTTCCAGGAGGCTGCAGGCAGGAGCATGAGGAAACCTTCTGCATGTCCTTGGGAACCTGCCACCTCCCCACACCTCTCCCTGTGGCCTGAGGTCACTCTTGGTAGTGGTGCTGCCTCTCTGCCCGCCCACACCTTTCTGTGCTGCTCCTCTCCCACTAGCCAGGGAACTGAAGTTCTTGGATCATAAGGAATTGGTTGGAAACACTTGATAGCCTTCCCTGGCAGAAGGCTGAGTGTGTGCTCTGTGGCTGTGGTGTGGCAGGATGTAAATCCCTGGCCCTGTGTCTGGGAGGCTCTTGCCCTGGCTGTGCCACGGGCAGGACTGGGGGGGTGTGTGTGTGTGCCCAGGCTGTGAACGCTGAGCTGGTGCCCTGCCCTGAGTCAGGACGGGCTGGCTCCTGGGAGGGAGGTGGAGATCTGCAGGAGTGGGGCTGGGAAGGGCAGAGCCTTGCCCGAGCCTCGAGCCTTGCCCGAGGAGATGAATCCCTCCAAGCCCCCACCCGGCTGGCACTGACTCCCTGCCGTGGGGCTGGGAGGCTGCAGGGTGCAAGGTTCCAGCAGTCCTGCCCTGCCACACAGGGAGAGGGCACCTTGTGCCCGTCTGAACTGCTGTGCTGGAGCTCTCTGGAGGGCTCTGGGGTGGTGGGTGCACGGTGCTCTGGGCTGACCACTCGTTCCTCTTTCCCTCCAGGTCTGCCCATTAGCACCTACGCCAAGTACTGCTACCGCAAACTCCAGAAAGTGGCCGTCACTGGAGGCAAAAAGGTGAGCAGGGCCTGGGGGCTGCCCGGGGCACTCTGCTGCCCAGGTACCTGAGCACTCAGTCCAGGGACTCAGAGATCACCACTGCTGCAGGGATGGGAGATGGAGACAGAGTGAGTGGGGGAGGCTTGCTCAGGGTGCATCTCCCCGTGAGCGTGGGGAGAAGGCTGTGCCCGGGTCCCATCCTCCTCCTGGCAGACAGTGCCTGCCATGCTGCCAGCTGCATGGCTGGGTGCTCCCTGGCCCTGGGGACAGAGACAAACCCGACATGTACCTGTCTCCAGGGTAAAAGGAACTGTCTGTGCAAAGGATGCCCATCAGTTTCTTTATGTGAGGGAAGATTCTCCCTTTTCTACTGAGAGCTTGCATGGGCTGGGTCTTGCAGCTGGTTTACTGCAGAGTGGTTCATTCCCAGTTCAAACAGTCACACAGCAGAGATGTCTGGTGTGAAGGGGAGCTCTGTGCTCTGTGTTATGTAAAAATCCTCCTCCCTTCCCTCTGCACAGTTCTGTTTGTGGCTGTGAAAGCTGGCAGGTGGCCTCAGCCTGTCCATTCTAGGTCTCTGAGCCAGATCTGGTCATCTTTTATTTCTGCAAATCCCTGTGGGGCCTCCCTGCCATCTGGACTTGTTGTACAGCAAGCAAATAGCTGAAATACCTCAGGAGGGGTGAAGGCTCCTGGTATCCTGGCTGGGCAGGATGGGACACACATGGCACACAACTGCAGCCCTGGCCACTGCCCCTCTGAGGGCTTGGGGGGAACTTCCCCCCCATTGTGCCTCCCTCTTGGCTGCAGGGTCACTGCCAAAGGCCTCCGTGCTGGGCAGCCTGTCCCCCTGTGCCAGCTCTGTCCCCCTGTGCCAGCTCTGTCCCCCTGTGCCAGCTCTGTGCTCCTCCAAACTGCTGCCACAGGAGATTCCAAGCCCCTCTCAAGTCTTGGTGTCTGCCAGAAGGGACAGGTACCAGTGCCTGCTTTTCAAAGAGTTTCAGCACTCTGAGAGCAAAGCTTTCCCCTGGAGCTGGAAATACCTGGAATTCCCTTCTCCCAAGGGCTGTTTTTCAGCTGTCCCATGGCCAAGCAGTGTCAGGGTCCAGGTGCCCTCTGCTGACCTCCCCGCAGCCAGACAGGCCAGGCTCCCTCCTGCCTCCCCCAGCAGGTGGAGCAGTGCCCTCACAGTGCAAAACACAGCAACAGAATCCCTGCAAAAGCACCCCAAACTCCCTAAAGTGGTCTCCTCTGCTCCTCTTGGGCCTGATGAGCAGAGCAGCTCTTTACGTCAGGAAGTGGAGGCTGTAGAACGAGAACCGTGCTGCCAGGAGGCTGGCGAGGCCACGTGCACGGCCATTCTTCTCTGTCCTGGTTGCTCCCCATCCCTACATCCCTGTTTCCCTGTGTCTGGCTGTGCCACAGCTGTGCTGAGCTCTCCTCTGTCCTCAGGGCCTCCGCAAGCCCACGGTGGAGGAGATCACGCACGCCAGGAACGCCATCCTCACGCCGTCGCTCTTCGGCAGCTCCCTGCAGGAGATCATGCTGCGCCAGCAGGACATGTTCCCAGGCAACAAACTGCCCTGGGTGCAGACACAGCTGTCACAGCAGGTCCTGGCCCTGGGAGGGGAACAGACAGAGGGGATTTTCAGGTGAGCTTTTGGGGCACTGTGTTACTTTTGAACCACCCACGTGTCAGTCCTCAAAGCCAGGGAGTCAAGATTGACCTCCAGGTGCTTCCTCTTGCCTGAGAGTAGCACTGTGGATTGGACAAAGTCCAACCTTCCCCAGGTTCAGGAATCACTTCCTGAAGTAGCATTGACCTGTTTGCATGTGTTAACAGGGAGGGGACAGCTCATCCCCAGGCAAGGCAGTGAGTTTTCATCAGAATCAACAGTGCTGGCCGGCCAGCTCAGGGGAGGGAGGAGCTCCTGGCAGAGCAACTCATGCAGTGCAGCTCATCAGCTTTGGTGTTGCACAGGACAGGAGGAGTGGAGAGAGACACACAATCTGTGTGGTGAACACAGGGCTTTGTTTGGGTTTTTCTGTGTGTGATTTTGCTCTGTATTTAAGATTTGTATTAGTTTTTCAAGTAGCTAAACATGGTTTAAAGTAGCCAGCGTAAGGCTCAACTTTGCCTTGTGAGGATTTCTAATGTCTTGGTATATTCAGCCAGAGATGCTGCTGATCTTTGGTCTGAACGTGCTGCAGAGAGGCCTGGTTATGGACAGCAGTCCCTCATGAGGACAGTAGTTGATTCTGACCTAGTGGGAAGGAGATAGATGTTGCTTCTACCCCCACTTTAGGACTGTGTGTAAAAGCAGGCACCCCCTTCTCCTTGAGGAACTGCTCCTGTAGCTGCTGCTGGTGCCTGCTCCCTTCTCCCTGAGGCCCCAGGAGCAGCTGCCACACCCAGCACACTGCCCTGCTGGCTCTCAAAAGCACCTTTGCTGTGTCTCTGCAGGATACCTGGTGACATAGATGAAGTCAATGCACTGAAACTGCAGGTGGATCAGTGGAGGATCCCGAGCAATCTGAGTGACCCCAACATCCCAGGTACAGGAGTGTGGCAGGGGTGTTGCTGGGCAGGGGCAGGGGCAGCCCCTGGGTGTGCTGCTGCTTGGGGCTGTGTACAGACTGTCTGTATGGACTGGGATTTCATGTTGGGCCTTTTCACTGCCTTTCCCAACACTGCCCATTGAGGAAACAGTGGGAGTGGGGAGGATCCTCTGGCCCTGGTGCAGGGAGGCTGTGCAAGCTGGGCAGAGCAGTGGGAGCCCTTCAGGTCTCACTGTCCTCTCCTTTAGGCAGCCCCAGAGCTGCTTCCTGGAGGAGCAGGCAGGTAGAAGCCAATGTTTCCCACTAACTGGCTAGTTTGGCTGCCTTAGTGTTTCAGAGCCAAGGCTGTAATAAGGTGAAGCAGCACAAGCACAAAATCCCTTCTCTGCCCTCTGTCTCACTGCCAAGGTTGCCCCTGAAGGGGGTGAGGAAGAGACCAGAGGTGTTCTAATGCACCTTCTTTCTGCCCAGCCTCTCTCCTCAAGCTCTGGTATCGGGAGCTGGAGGAGCCAGTGATTCCCCAGCAGTTCTACAAAGAGTGTATCAGCAACTACGAGAACCCCGACGCCGCTGTGGCCGTGGTGCAGCTTTTGCCAGAGCTCAACAGGCTGGTGCTGTGTTACCTCATCCACTTCCTGCAGGTAGGCAGCCCCCACAGCCCTGCTGGCCAGGGGCCTGGGGCATGGTTAGTGGGGCAGCTGTGCCGGGCCATCGGGTTTTAGGACCTCCTATCTGTATTCAGGGTGGGCTTGAGGGAGGGGGCCCTGCTGGCCTTGTCCCTTATGGGAGCAACAAACCCTGCTGCTGGTGTTGTGGAGCCTGGGGCCCGTTCCCGGCCTGCCAGGGCTGTCAGCTGTGTCAGAGCACAGAGCTCTGCCCCTGTGTGGCTGTTGGAGCACTGTCCTGAAGGGAGGCCCCATCTCTGCTCTCCTTGCACCTTTGCCTGCGTGTTTGGACTTCCTTGCCCTTTTCTGCTGCCCCAGCCGAATGTCTTCCTGCTCTCTGCAGATCTTTGCTCAGCCATCAAACGTGGGCAGAACAAAAATGGATGTGAATAACCTGGCCATGGTGATGGCCCCCAACTGCCTGCGCTGCCAGTCCGACGACCCGCGCGTCATCTTCGAGAACACGCGCAAGGAAATGTCCTTCCTGCGCATGCTCATCGTGCACCTGGACACGAGCTTCGTCCACGGGCTGGTCTGAGCCCGGCCCCGGCTCCACACGGTGCTCTGGGGAGTTGCTGGGTACCCTAAATCTCCTCCCCTCCACGTAGTTTTGTTCCATTGTCCTTGCTGTTGTCACGCCCTGGGTTAGCCCCTGAGCATCTCCCAGCGCACAAGGACTGGACGTTCCTGGAAGGCTCGGTTCTGTCAGCACCAGGAAGTCCTTGGACATGCCAGGTCAGGTTCAGCTGTTCCTGGCCTTCCAGCACGTGGCAGAGAGGGGCCACCCTCCTCCTGGGAGCCACAGGACTGGTTGCTCAGTGAAAGGGCTGTGACATCCGTGAGGGACTGCTACAGCGAGACTCTCCATTTCCCTTCTGGAGGCACAGTGGGCTTCAGGCAGGAGGACGTCACTCCTGTGCTGTGGCATGAGCCAGTCCTGGGGGAGATGCTGCCTCACTGGGGATAATCCTCCTGCTACGGGGGCAGCCTGGTTCACCCCTGCTGACTGTTGGCTGGAGGTGTGAGGGTTGCTCTGACCCCCACGGTGCTGTTGGTGGAGGGCTGTGAAGGTGCAGGGGATCTGCTGAGGCAGAAAAGCCCCTCGGGCTGTGGAAGCACACTGCAGCCCAGGGAGAGCAGGTCTGGGAGCTGCTGCTGCTGGGGGCTGGATGGTCAGACATTCTGCACCTGGGAGCTCTGGCAGGCCAGATCCACAGCACCCACCTCACCTTCTTCAGAGAGCTGCAGAGGTGCAGAGCAGCACGTGGGAGCAGCCCTGTGCTGGGCACCCACACACACCATAGGGCTGGGCACAAAGAGAAGGCCACGCACCTGACAACAGACAGGTAGCTGCTGTGGCATCCTCCTAACAGGGGCCATATCCTCTGGAGGGGTGACCCCAGCAGCCTTGCAGCTCCTTTTTGCTCAGGACAGCGTGAGCTGACTCCAGCTTTACTGAGGAGCACCAGAGCCCGTGCTCATGGCTCCAGCACCCCCTTCCTGATAGCACATCCTTCCCAGGCTGCTCTGCTGGGGACTCAGTACCAGTTTGGTCCCCTCCTGGTCCAGCCCAGGTCTGAAGAAAGCTGGGAAGGCCCCAGAAGTCAGAAGTGCTCCTGTGCTCAGAGAGCAGCAGCAATGCTGTGTGCTTGGGAAATGCTGGTACTGCCTGTAGTCAGCTGTGGCACCTCTTCCCACCGAATTCCCACAGGCATTGCAGAGGGCTTGGGAAGGGAAGGGGAAGGAAAGGGGCAGGTTGAGCAGCTGAGGTGTGGTGGAGCCTGAGTGGGGGTAGTGGCAGGTGGCAGCTCGGTGTTCTCACTGCTGCTGCTGTGGCTTTCTGTGTGTCACCAGAGGTGAGGCACAGCAAGGACAGTGTCCTTTGGAGGCAGCACAGGGATCCCTCCACAGCCTCCGGATGCTGTTGTATGTTCCTTACCAAACAGCAGATCCTAATTGTGGCATCCTAGTGTTACTCTTCCTTTGAGGTGTTTTCCTTGCTGGAGGCAGTTGTGCTGCAAAAAGCTGAGTTTTGGGATTACTGGAGCAGTGCTAAGGCTGCCAGGAGTATCCAAGGTTGCATTTGTGTTTCTGCATCCCCCTCTCTTTCCAGTGGGGACCTGGGATCATCCTCTCCAGACTGCAGTGGGGAGCTGAGCCCTGCCAACAGTGAGGTTTAGTACTGATGCCTGAATGAGTACCCAGTGTGGGCAGGAGGTGCCACATGCAGACAGTGCCCCAAGCCTGCTGGTTTGCCTGGGGCAAGAGGTGAGAGGGTTCCCAGAGCCTGTATTTGGATGAGTTTGGATGAACTGCACAGCAGGAATTCAGTTTGTGCCCAGCTGAACGAAGGTCATGGTTCCTCTCCTTCTACGAGCTGCCTCTGTGGGGCAGGAAATCCTTTGCCTTGTCAGGGTTAGCTCTGTCAAACACCCCCCAGCGCGTTTCATTCCCCCATCCCACACTCCAGCCCCGGGGGCTTGTCTGGCCCTTCTGCAGCACTGAACTTGTTCCCCGAGTGTGGAGCTTCTGCCCCAGAGGTGCAGGCACAGGCAGAGGTCACCAGCTCTGCCACTGCCCCTAGGTTTGAGTCAGTGAGCAGGCTCAGGGTGTCCCTGTGCTGGGCCTGCAGTCCCCGTGTGGGTGATCCCCATCAGTGATCCCCCTTGTTCCCTGCATTTCGCCATAGCAGTCAATCAAACCATAGGCATTTGCTGCTATTTACAAACGAATGCTTCTTGCCAGGGCTGTAAAATAGGCTAATAAAGGACACTGGATATTATTTTCTTTGCCAACAGATTTGTAAATACCAATCAGTAAAGTAGCCTCTTCTCTGTTCTAATAGTAATAAATAAAATCTCTGTGGTTGTTCTTTTGGTGCATTGGATTTTTTGTGAATTTCTGAAGCATGATTACACCTGCCTGGAGCTGCATATTCCAACCTGGATGTCAGTGTCCATGAGTAAGATTTTGGAATCAGCATGAAGTAAGCACTTGGAAACCATGCCATGGGCTGGTTCTGTTCTTAACTCTCAGACAGCTCCTAAGGGACACTCAGGGAAGCTTGGAAGAGAATGGGTTTAAACAGATAAAAGACAATACTGCTTTACACAGGATCTTCAGGAGCCTTTCAGGGTCAGAAAGGTATTAGAGGAGTTCATGGGCAGTTGGAGGGTAAGAGAGGGACACAGACATCCTCCCCTGCATGGTCTCTGCTGCTGGAGATGGGGTTAGTTGGGCTCTTGGGCTGACCTGATGGGGACATTTTTATGTGTAGACTGGAGGGTTGTCTGATCATTCCTCCATCCGTGCTCCAAGGAGCCGCTGGGAGCAGTCTGTTGGTGCTCCAGACTGGTGCTGGTTCCCACTGCAGCACGTGGGGATGAGCTCCTGCCCTGGCTCCAGCTGGTGCTCTGGAGGTGGTCGCTGCCCTGTCAGCACTGGGAAAAGCTGGTGCACTTCAGGCAAAGCCAGCAAGGGCTGCTCTGTCACACCAGTGGTTTAAGATCATCTGTGCTGGCCAAATCACTGGGTCTTCCCAAGGTCTGGTTGGCAGGAGGGTGGTGGGCATTCTGTATGACAAGTGAGAGCAGCAGGAAGAGCAGGAGCATCGTAACCTCACGCAGCCCTTCCCTAGGGAAATGTCTGCTGCCCAATTTCTGAGTGTTCCCCAACACTGATTTGTTGGCCAAATCAGAAAAGCCCACAGACCAAGTGCTTCAGCTCATGCTCTGAGATTTGGGCTTACCCGTGCACTCCCCTTGGCCTGACACCTGGATCACTTAAACCAGTGATGGCCAGAGCAGCAGCTGGGCTTGGAACACGCCTGTGGTTTGTTCTGGGCTCCCCCAGCAGTGCAGTTGGACGCTGTGCCAGAGGGTGGCTGGGACACAGCTCCTGTCTGGCTGTGAGAGGAGGCAACTGCAGCTGGTCCGTGACCTGCTGCCAGTGCTGGAAGGGTGATGTGTCCCCAAGGGGCCCTGCTCCTGCAGCACTGGGTTTCTGTGGCCAGGGTTTGGTAGCGTGGGGGGCTACAGGGGTGGCCTCTGTTAGAAGCTGCCAGAAACTTGCCCATGTTGCCAATGCCAGCTGGCTCCAGGACAGACCCACCAGGAATGACAGGAATGCCTCTGGGATAACATATTTAAGAAGAGAAAGAAGGTTACTGTGCAGGGGAAAAATTGCAGCAAGAGAAGAACGGAGTGAGAACATGAACAACTGCAGACACCAAGGTCAGTGCAGAAGGAGGGGCAGGAGGTGCTCCAGGCACCGGAGCTGAGGATTCCCTGCAGCCCCTGGTGCTGCCCATGGTGAGGCAACTGTGCCCCTGCAGCTCCCTGGGGGAGCATCGGGGTGCAGAGACCCCCCTGCAGCCCCTGGGGGAGCATCGGGGTGCAGAGACGCCCCTGCAGCCCCGGAGGAGCCCACGCTGGAGCAGTGGGTGGCCAAAGGAGGCTGTGACCCCGTGCTGGAGCAGGGGCCTGGCAGGGGCCGGCAGAGGCGGGAGGGTCCTTGTCCCGCCGCTGGTTTGATGGTCTGAGGGTGCAGCAGAGTCGGCACAAGCAGCTCGTGGAGGCGGCACCGAGCGGGGGCTGTGCCGGGCTCCGGCACACCCAGGGCCTGTCTGCAGGACACTCACCGGCAGGAACAGGGGGACAGCTGATTTAGCTGCTGAGCGTCGCTGCTTTTAGAGCTCCCGTTGTCCCGCAGCATTTGTCAGCCGTGGTTAATGGTGGAGAGAGACCTGGGTGTGGATGCAAGTAGGGAAATCAGCTCGGGCAGGGTGAGGGGACAGGGAAAAGTGCGGGCATTCAGAGCGAGGTGGACCACGCAGGGACACTGCCAGCGTTGACTGCTTACTGGTGGCCATGCAGAAAAGCTTTTGGGACACATGGAGTCACTTTTCAGTTCGACTGTGCTTTCCAAAGCAGAGGACTCCAGCTGAGGACTCTGCCCAGGCCACAAGGGTTTGAACCTGCATGTCCTGCCCAGACTTCTGCCTGGACCTTCTTCTGTGTCGCTAAGTGATCCCATTTTGTCTGAAGCGTTTAGTGCTTAGTCCCCTATGTCTGAGGGCTGGAGGACTGTGTGACCTCAGCTGCAGGGGATGGGGACTGGCAGGAATTGGGGTCCAAGGCCATGAAGGTGTTCAGAAGCTCAACGCTGGTCTGCAGAGCTATGACTTCTCCCAAAGTCATAACCCAAACTAGTGCGTTATGTCATCTCATCTCCACTTGCAGCCCCATTTCCTCCATCCCTTCTGTGCCATGTCTGGTCCTTCATTCAGATCACAGGGACGCAGGGAGACTGGGTAGGTGGTGAGGGAAGTGGAGGGTGTGGGGTGGAGGGGGAGCAGGGCCCTCTCCTTTGAGGGCAGTGAGCTGTTGGATTGCCTCAGCTGGGAGGTTCAGCTTCCCTGAAATGACCTTCCTGCTGGGGGAGACAAGGGCACTGCAATTGCCAAAGGGACCCAAACACTGGGCTGGGCATCCCCCAGTGGGTGCTACCTCCCAGCTCCTTAGCCAGACTCTAAAGCCCCAGGGACCACAGGAGGGCTTGTAGAGCAGGGTCTCAATCATCTGCAAGTAGACAGCCCCATAAAGGACGGGGAGGTGAAGGGTGGACAGCCTGCCCCCTTCTCCCAGCTGAATCAGCAGGGGTGTCTGGGTGCACTGATGGAGAGGGGCCTGCCTGTTTGTGTGTCTCTCCCAGCCTCTCCACGGATGGGGCTGGGCCTGCCCTGCCCGAGGGCACAGACTGAGGGTGGACACCCTTCCCTGGAAACCTGCAGCTGGTTCCCAGCCTCTGGTCTGGGGTGCTCTGGTCAGCAAAGACGGGGTGAGAAACTGTCCCAAGTAGTGAGTACTCCGATGTGGAGTGCTGCTGTGATGATGGCACACTGACACGCTGAGTCCCTCACCTCCCACCCTTGTGTGCACCCTGGAGCAGCCTGGAGGTCAGGCAGCCCTGTGGGACCCCCGGCAGCGTCTGACAGAACAGGTACAAGCAGGATGAAGCTCGGTGGGGAGAGCTGGACACAGAAAACTGATGCCTGGCCTGCTGCGCGCTGGTGTGGAGGGCAGGGACTGTGTCCGGATGACTCTGCAACCCCCGTGCGGTGCTGGCCCGGCATCTCCTCCCCCAGGGCCGGTCTCAGCAAAGCAGGCGCTGCACAGGCTGCAGTGACCCCGCGTGGGCTGTGCGGGGGCAGCCGAGGGCTCCCACCTCTGGCAGAGGCCCGTGGGCAGGGGAGACAAACCCCTGCGGGCACAGAGCACCATCCTTCCCCCTCGGCCCAGGGTGGGCGGGCGGGGAGGAGCGGAGGGGCTCGGGCAGGGATGGCTCCAGCGGCCGGGCTCGGAGCAGCGGAGGGGCTCGGGCAGGGAGGAGCGGAGGGGCTTGGGCAGGGATCGCTCCAGCGGCCGGGGCCGCTCCTGGGGTGGGTTGCCCCCCACGGGTGTGAGTGTCTCTGTGGGATGTGGGCCAGGGCCAGCACGGGCAGTGCCAGCACAGCTGCCGAGCTCGGGGCCAGCTCTCCCACAGCGCTGCCGCACTGAGGCACCTGAAGGGAGGGAGCTGTAGGACACCCCACGGGGAACTTCCTCCCTCTTCCTCAGGAATGTCGCCTGATTGCAGAGCCTGCCCTTGGGTCTCTGCCTGAGCTGGGTCAGCTATTTCTGTGATGATGGGGACCCCGATCCCAGCCTGTGCACTGACCTCCTCCCTTAACCTGCCTCATCATTGTGGGATTTTCCAGTGCTCATCTGATCACTGTCACCATCCCAGCTCTGCTCCCATTTACCACTGGCCTGGCCTGTGCTGGGTAGGGCAGTGCCCTGCCTGTCCCACTGCCAGCTCAGCTCCTGCTCACCTGTCCTGGCACAGCTCCCACTGCTCCCTGACAGCAAGTCCTGTGGGGTGCACAACCCATGCTGAGCGTAAATGAAAACTTTACAGATGAGGCCTGAACAGCTTCCCAGGGAAGGCAGAGAAGGCTCCAACCCATTCCTTGACTTGCCTGACAGCAAAGTTTGCCAAGCAAGACAAAAATTCTGGCTATTCCTTGCCTGCCTACCTCTGATTTGCTGTGAAGTTGTGTCTCAGTGAGACTGAGGCTGTAGAAGGGAAGAGGATGGGACAGATTATGGAGGGGAAACCCCCCCCCCCCCCACAGTCCAGCCTGCCTCAAGGGAAGCACAAACAAGCCCTTGGTAAACTCTTTATTGGCAAAACAAGGGTGCAGGTCTGTGTGTGCTGTCTGGGGGCTCTTCACCAATCCTGCCACACACCCGGTTCTGCTCAGATGGGCTGTGAGTGCCCAGATCTGCGCCGAGCCCCGGCCTGGGCAGGGGCCTTTGGCCCCGCCGGAGGGACGGGCTGGCGGGAAGGCCGTGGGTTTGCAACAGGCCCTTTGAAATCCTGTTCGGTGCTCAGCGCAGGCTCAGGCTCGTTGATCCGCTCCAACACCGAGTCAGCAATCCGATCTGCCATGCTCTTTATATCCAAAGAGTCAGCTAAGGTGGTTGACTCTGGATTCATTGTTTTCTCCAAGTTCTCCTCCGCTGTTGCAAGACCCTCAGGCTCCATGGTGTTGGCACAGCCAGTCCCTTCTGCTTGGTCCTGTGGTTCTAAGGCAGGCAGCTTTGCTCCTGTGCTTCCTTCCAGGCTCTGCTGTTCAGATGCTCCATTTCCCCCAGGAAGCTCCGGGATTTCAGTGCACTCACAGGTAGAGTCTTTGTCAAACTGAGAAGCTGCAAAGGATTGCAAGGTGCAGTGAACACTCTCAACAACTTCCCTGGTGAGTTTGTCAAGGGAAGACTGTGCAGATGTCCTGTTTGAAGCAGGTGTTTCATTTTCCTTGGGTTCGCCTGCTTGGGTGGCTCCTCTATCGACAGGTTGCTCCTTCTGCGTGGCTG